TTAATATCCTTCTTAATTTCATATTCGAACATTCTTTCATACACACTATCCGCTCTGTCATTTTAATCCATACTATTCATGTTCAGTTTGTCTCATTTTCATTGCTATTATGTTATTTCGCACTATTTTTCTTTTATTTTCACTACATCGCGCTAATCAGAGATGGCAACTTGGGCCAAAATATATCTGTGAAAGGTTTCCTCTCGATAATTCAATCATAACACTAGAAAAAATAAAGTTTATCGGTTTAATTGAACATTGGTAAGACCTATTTTATTTATATCAATTTAATTGATTAAAACCGTCAGGTTGTACAGTACCCAAATCAGTGGACTACTACTGATGAAAAAATTTTTGGTCTGAATCATTGACAATTTCGAATTGGAAAAATAGTTTTAAAAATATTATAAATAAATAAAAATTGACTTACAACTCTTCAGCTTTTCTAATAATATCTAAATCCTTAGCAAAAATATCAGCAATTATATGAGAAACAGCATCTTCAATGGTCGTTTTCGATGTAAACGTCTCTATAGTAAACAAACAAAAGACAAAGTTCCATATTCATATCTTCTTGTTACCAATACCGAAAAATGCTATTCAGGGGGAGTAAAGAGTATTTTTTTGAAAACCGTTTTGAACATTTAGTGAATGGACTACACCAGTTTTGTATTGAAATTTAGAATGTATTATGTCATGATCAATATGAAATAATGACAACAGTGCTTTATATATACAGGCTGAGGTATTCGGAACTCGGCCTGAAGCCATTCTAAAGCTACTGCCAACCCCAAGCCCGGAAAAAGGAGAACTGTGTATGAGGTTAGTGAACTCACCCAGTAGAAAGCAAGCTTGCTAAAATACCGCTAACCACGAAAAGTCATTTAAACCATTCAACCTCTACCGCGGGAGTTGGAAAGTTTTCATTCAGAAGAGTTATAACATCTATAAGAGTATTGTTTGAAGTCACAAGGATGATGCCCCTCTTGAAAACCAGAGCAACCATTAATCCAAGTACATGGAATGTTCGTGTAATAGAGGAAACTGGAAGAACTATTCAAGTTGTTGCAGAAATGAAAAGATACAACCTGGTGATTCTGGGAACAAGTGGAACCCATTGGACGCAGACTGGACGAAAAAGAATCGCCACAGGAGAGATGCTGTATTACTCTTGCTAAGAATAATAAAATGCGACGCACACAAAAGTAGCTGCATTTATGCTGTCCGAAGAAGCACAAAAAGCACGTATAAGATGGGAGTTTCGTGGATCTCGGATCATCAAACCATACTTCAAGACAAAGAAAGACGAAATTACAATGAATGTCATCCAGTACTATGTGCCTACCAACGACAGCAAAAAAGACAATAAAGGTCCACTTTATGAAGGCCTGCAGTCAATCGTACAAGTGCGCAGCAAAGGACCTGACCGTCCTGACGTGGAAAAGATATCACGAGTAATCGTATACTAACGACAGCATTGCTTATTCGGTTGTCCCAGGATATACGAGCAATGCTTCGGAGACACCTATGATCAAAGACAAGCAATCTACGAATGTCCTCTACTCTCACCGGCCATGTTTCGCATCTGTATAGTAGGACGGAGCGAACTGCTGCACGGTACAGTCGTCCTTTGGTTAGCAAACGGATATCTTGCCTGCGCGATAAGTGACGAAGGTTGGCAAAAGCCAATCGAGCCTTCTGTATCCGAGCGGAGATTTCGTCAGTCATCAGGCTATCGGCACTGATGAGACTCCCCAGATACGTTCGACTACTTCACTCCCTATCACTAGTTCCGGTGAAGTCGCAAGCCAGTCGTGAAGCAACATTTTGCATTTCGAGGGGGAAAACCGCATCCCGAATATGCTTGCATTGTTGCTCAGGGTGGTCAGAAGACGCTGCATTTTGTCAGCGTCTTCACCAAATAGAACTATGTCATCAGCATACTCCAAGTCGGCAAGCATGCCTCCTGGTAGAAGGTCTACTTCTGAAGATTCAGACGATGATAATGTTATATCTAAAAGCTTGTCTACGACAAAGTTAAAGAAGGATGGAGAGAGTGGACATCCCTGATGGACAACACTTGAAGTAAAGAATTCCGATGACAGTTCGCCATAAGCTCTCACTCGACCAGTGGTGTTCGAGTAGAGAGCTTGTATAAGGTTAATGTACTTCTTTGGTGCACCTTTCAATGACAGACACTGCCACAGAACCTCGCGACCAACAGAGTCAAATGCCGCTTTACGGTCGAAATATACAACTTTTGTGGGGCGTCTGAACGCATGTCTTTGTTCTAAGACCTGACGTAGTGTGAAAAATTGGTCTATACATTCACAACCAGGTCTGAAACCAGCCTGGTTTTCTCTAGTCTGCTCTTCACGAGCGTCGGAGTATTATTGAGGCCAATATTTTAGACAAAAGAGTGCGTAGCGAAACAGTGTGAAGCGAAGGCGAGTGGGCTAACTCAATGTGATGAAGCATAATTAAGTGTTTATAATCAGACAAAAATAAGCTAGACATGTGATAGGAGAAGTAATCAATGCGCACCTAGTCAAATAAAAATAACTAATATTATAAGTAAACAACTAATAAGGTTGAAACATGTGTGAATAATGACTACAGTAGAGTGGATTATTTAGCTCGTCTGAAAGCTAGAACTGGCCACATATGCCTGAAGTATTAGTGCACAGTACAACCTCAACAGGTGAGTAGAGCACTTTGAAGAATTTCAATAGACCAACCCCTCTCAACCCACCTAACACTGAGGCAACACCTACAGATCTTCCTATTTCACGCCACGATTAAAGGGGGAAGTCAGTACGACCATCAGACAAATCAAAAGCGGTAAAGAAGCGGGACCAGATAACATAATAGCTGAGGCATTTAAAGCAGGCACAGAAGTAACTGTAAGGATTCTTTACGTTCACTTCAGCAAGACTTGAGAGGAAGAACAAGTATTAACAGACTGGAAAGAAGGATACCTCATCAAGATACCAAAGAAAGGAAACCTTAGCAATTGTGAGAACTATAGAGGCATCACTCTACTATCAATGACACGAAGTCTTCAACAGAGTGATGCTAAACCGTATAAAATATTCAATAAACGCCTAAGTTCGAGATCAGCAAGCTAGGTTCCGTAAAGATCGATCGTGAACCGACCAAAGCGCGACACTATGGATCATTGTGGAACAATAAATTGAATGGGACTTGCCACTGTACATCAACTTCCTTGACTACGAAAAAGCATTTGAGAGACGACAATATGGAGGCCTCCCTGACACTACCGCGTGCCTGGTAAGATAGTCAACGTCATACGAAATCCTTACGACGGACTTCACTGAAAAATCGTGCATTGAGGGCAGCTTACAGACTTATTCCAAATGAAGAACGGTGTCAGACTAGGCTGGCTGCGCTAACTTGGAGTCCTCAGGACCAAAGAAAGAAGGGACAGACCAAAGAGCACATTGTGCCAGGGATCGGAGGAATGCATCAAAAGTAATAGCAACCGAGAACAACTGAAATGGAGTGTGCGCGACAGAGCTTGTTGGAAGACCGTGGTTGGTGGCCTACGATCCTCACGGCGCAATAGGCGTAAAGTATTCGAGATCAATGTACGCTTAATGTGAATGGTAGTGATACTATCCAGCTGCCAAAACCAAAGTATAAAGGCCGAGGCTCAAACTACAGTGTCGTATGCTACAAGAATTATGCCAAAGATCTAATGCCTGTCAGTGTCTTGATCCTATTCGAATGTTCGCATTTTAATGGAAATGAACAGTCTGTTCAGCCTATGAAGTTGTTTGACCGTGGATAACGATCGTATAGTTAGTTAGACTAATGTTGGATGAAAACAGATGATGTTGGGGTATTAAATACAATACCCCTTACTTTTATGGTGAATTTCAAGTAAATAGATGGACTATTAACGAACTACTAACTTATTTTCATTAACTCAACTTGTTATTTAGATGTTCATATTTTAACAAGCAGACCATATTACCATTAACAATCAAAATCAGGCATTTATTTGTTTCCTGTGGTTTGAATTCTGTGTCAACCATGACAAATGCAGATTACCAACGAACCTTTTGGTATTAACTCAAAAATATTTGACAACAGGTTTCTATGGAGATAAATTTGAAGTTTGTAAACAATTTTCCCTTTTCACTTCAAAAGAATGTGAGCTCAGATTTACAATTTATGAAAAACATTAGTTAATATGGTCCCTAATTGCTAGAGCAAAGAACTAAGATGTCATCCCATAACTTTTGTTATGAATACTAATAACCACATACTAAAATGTCAGTTGGAGATCAATCATAACCACTGGAGACAAAATACCTAAAGCCTGGAATTTAATTAGTAACTTGGATCGTAAATGTAATTTTTATTTAACTTTGGAATTGATAACCTCGAGACAGTACGAAAGTTCTGTCGGAGTTCTTTAAATGTAAGCTCAATACTATTGAGGATTCAACATAATGTTTTTTCATCAACTAAGCATAACTTTATATTCTTTTGAATTTGATTTCACACAATTAAATCTCTATTCGAAGGCATCAACGGTTTGTCGCCGTGAAACAAAAAAATTTGTTAAGCCAAAACATCCCCATAAGCTCTTTTAATGAAATATGAGTATTCGGAAAATGATTTAATAAGCTTACTTTTGGCTTCTGGAGGTGCCTGACCATATATATCAACAAACTTATTTGAATGAAGTATATCCAAAGCAAGAGGTTCCAGATTGACAGCTTTTGCTCGACCTGCGAGAGTGCGCGGACCCTTAGACTTGAAGGGATCTGTCTAATAAAATCCTATTAAAGATTAAAATCCTGTCGACTTGCCAGGAGCTTAATATCTTCAGTTGTTTTGCATTTCATCAACTGTTGCGATAATTCATTGGTTAATAATCCATTTTTATCAAAAAACTGGAGTGACTTCTCGATTTTATCAACAAGCACTCTAAAAGCATTTATTCTAAGAAAAGTAAAGTCATAGTTACTTGCAGTCGTTCATCTTTTCCTTCAGTCTATGTAACACAGTTGGTTCCGCACCCCCAGTTACTTCTTTTCGATAGCGTGCAATAAATGGCACAGTATAGCCATTCTCGAACATTGGAATTACACGGCTGACTAGAGTCCGATCAATGTTTGCAGCTTCCGACACTTGAGTAGTTAAGTCGATCTCCATTTTTATAGGGTTACCCATCTAGAATCACATAAAACAAGATACTGATTTTATGTGAATCATATATCACTGGAAAACATAAAGCTCAGATCACATTTAAATACAGACATATAGTCAGGTGAGTTTTTGTGTTAACTTTGAATACGGAAGTGTTTGTCGAAAAATTCGAGAAAAAAATAAACGACTGAGTACAGACGACTAGGCCCTTGGGTCTGCGAAACAGAGTAGCATTAACTTATGACTGTCTGGAATTAAATAAGTTACACAATTATGATTAATTCAAGCATTGTAATTTACCCAACCGTATACTCTGACCGAGCATTAATTAATTAGACTTTATTAGCTAGGATGTGCTTTGTAATGCACTTAGGTTTATTGAGGTATATGCGGATCTTTATAATGCTTTGGTTTGTTTCTCGATCTATACATATGTCAATCCTGTCCTGTTGTTAATCTAATTTGAGATGCACTTTCTTAAACTTCAGATACATCGTTTTAATTAAGAAGATTTATAAAATATAATTCCAGATGGTTACAACTCTAGTACAATTGCTGGATATCCCATTAAAATTCTAATTCCAAAACCAATACGGTAATTTTTATTTCGTGCGTTATTTCAGTATTATTATTATTATCGGTGCACACATCAGCTATTCGGAGTACTTAAATACACATCCAATAATATTACTATTTGAGTCCTTGGCCTACTTGATGTAATCCATACAGAATATCGATACAAGCACAAAAACTAATATGTATATGAGACTTCTCGATTAGCTTCGAAAAGGTAACTCGAATTTATGAGTAACACTGATGCAGCTTTATTTACAGAAAATATGGGGCGGTTGAGACTTTTAGGCCTTTTATTTCATTTTAGTGATATTAAACCAATTCTAAGCAATACAATGCATTTGCTTAGGTAATGATGTAGCGTAAAGGGCCCGAGTACTATAAAGTACGGAGGACAAATAGTTGAATATTGTTTACCAACGTTATTATATGAACCTTGTTTGAGGTGAACACATACACAGAAGTCTTGTAAGATCGCTCATAATACTAATTGGAGTCTGGTAAGGAATCCACGAATGTGGACATTTTCACGACGTGTTGCCCATAGAAATGAAAAATCGCTAATCAACACCAACACACTCCTGAACACTGAGTAGGTTCTGCACATATTAGGCTTTATTACAGTTCAGCAAGACTGTAATATGCCAGAAGATATTGTGCCCAAGCAACTAATAGATGGGAAATAAAGAGGACGACGGAGTAGATAGCGTAGGGAGCAAGACGAATTCATAGTTTTTTCTCTTATCCTTAACCTTCAGATAACTCAGCTTTTCGAAAGCTGGTGAAAATAACCCCTTAGAATTAAGTGAAGTCGTAAGTCTACCTTTACTGGTTATCTGGATGGAATCAGCACCTCGCGATGCCCTTGAGGTCGCTGAGCGCACAACTTGACTTCGATATTTTATGACAATCTATTCAATATCCAATATCTTTTTCACAAGCTAGTATAAACCAGTTGATTTCTTTGCGCTCAATTCTTGTTCTTTCGGTACGCAGAAAATATATGTCCTTCAAAAACTGTAAATAATGTAGTTTCATGAGTTAAGTAGGAAACTTCATTTCTCGTCTAACCACAGAATGAGCAGAAAAATGTACTGTGACACACGTCCACTGTTATTGAAATTCGCAGTATCATGGTGAAATTCCAAGTGCTTGACAAATTCTATAAACTGTTTAAAGTGTGCATCATTAAGGCGAGAGAACAGTCGATGTCCAAATAGGTTAACATAGGCTCTTAGGCTAGCCCTAGCTTTTTCTCTTCAATAACTCCTCAGACAGAAGTCGACTTAAAATCCCTCAGTTTTCTCTTGCTTCAAAATTTAAACGGTCGCATTAGTTGTGTGCAGCCTGGTATGAGTCGGTGTTAAAAATCCAAAACTGTAGAGAGTAACTTGGTGCAGCCTCCGAACGGTATCTACCTCCTTTTCATTGGTGTAATTCTACCAAGGGTTTAAGTATGTTTAATAAATTCCGAATTTCTGACTCTGGAAACGTACTTTGACGTATATCCATTCTCTTCTTTTCTAGCTTTAATAAACAGCTCTGATGTTCCAGTCAAGCACACTAAACCTGAACTGTCAAGTAAAACATCTTGTATGTTTAATAATAATGATAATTTACTCTGAAATGACAATATGTTACAAGAGACATTCCGATTTCAGGCAAGACCAAAATGATATCACTGCTATCATATTTACTGTTAACAATTGTTCATTTCAACAAATATCTCACCAGAAACACTGGCTTTTTGTAGAGGGCTAGAATTTGAGCTGAAGGCACATCTTCAAGTAGATTACCCATAAACCTTGAAAATGTTTGCTCCGCATTCCTAATACTGAATGGTAAGCATGCAAACTTGAAGGTATGGTAAGGTATCGTATTAGCGGTCATAGGAACGTCTTTTTCTGCAGTGGGGATATTGTAATGTATTTTAACAACTCCGTTCATACTTCATGATTCGTTTAAAAATCATTGATATAAGATACTGAGAACTTATCCGGTATAGTTTTACAGTTGACGACATTTTCAGAAATTACTTTGAGGCCTTAGGTAGAGAAGACGCCCACTGTCTATCTGAGGGACGAATAATATCCAAGTGTAGAGTTTAGGCTCATTCGGAGCTGTTTGTTTTAAGCTTATCAGGTGCTAGTCTTCAGGGCCTTGTGAACACAGGCATAACTCCGGTTGTGATCATGTGACTAAACTTAAGCTTAACTTTATAAAGGTGGGGTTTATATTTGGTCAGGTTCGGGGATTTTTTGAGTTTTTTCTGGAACTTTGCCATCATTACTGATGGAGTCTATATCAAATTTAGTGAAATGATGTGACTTTCTGCATCTTTTGCGTGAAACGAAGTTTCGTTAAGTGCCAAACGATTCGCACGATATACTTCTTCGCGGGATAACAATTGTTACTCCCGGAACTCTGAGAATCAAACACGAAGGAGATTCTATAGGAAGAAGTATATTTCGTACTGGCCTCGTGATATCGAAATAATATCGAGGCAAGAAGTTGTACAAACGGCTAACGTCTACGCAGGAGACATGCGAAGAGGAGAATAAGAATAACACGCCTGGCGAGCGAGAGATAGTCTTTAGTACAGATAAACAAGAGGTGTTCAATATAACAATTATTGTCAGAATCAAGTACAATAATAAATGTTTATATTTCAGCAATTGTGTTTTCTTCGTAAAAATAAACCACTACATTAACCCTTCCCCCTATAAAGGGTTTACACTTTCGATACGTGGCGGTTTCGCGCGTAGGGGGGGCTGAACAATTAACGGGCGATTGTGGGGCGGGAGGATTGACAGACAGGAAACGACCAATGAAGCTCGATTTGTCAACGAGATTCTTTTACGTTGAAATGTACCTATAGTAACGTGCCAAGTCTAGTGCTCGAGTTGGCATGCCACACCAGCGTGGCTCGTATCCAGAGTCTGAAGATTGCGTTCGTAAGGTTTCGTACCAGAAAAAAGTACAGACGTTGGACGGAACCGAATTGAGCGTAGGAGCCAGAAACGACCAGTTCGAAACCATTCGTATGCCAGAACATTCGAAGCCAAAACATCGACTGATTGCATTGGCCAAAGCGGAGGTGATCAGGCCAGCTTTCACCAAAATTGACTGAATTCGACTGTCCCAATAAGGTGATGGTCATAGACATGGGCTCAGGATACAAAATTAAAGAAAAAGAGGAGGCTGTAGCACACATGTTGTACGAGGATGGTGTACTATTACGTATTCGTTGTAGTCTGAGTGGTTATTCGAGAAAACGTACCGGTAAGCGTACGTGGCGACCGGAACGCAGGACGGTAGTCTCGTGCGTACCTAGTGAGCCGTTAATCTCTTCCGAAGTCATGGGCGGCGTGGTCTGCTGATCTGGACGTCAGACTGGGGTCTCATCCGTAGACAGTGCAGATGGCATGTGCTGTTGACTGGGACATGAGGATGAAGTCTCTGATTTGTCTAGCATGGGACCCGAAGCAGCTTGAAGGATCCCGCTAGAAGGTTTGGTAGGTCTAGCACTGAGTCTCGGAGTAGCAAGTACGGCATTGTCATCGACGTGTGCTGGCTTGAGACGGTCAATGCTGACTATTTCGACGCGGCCATATCGAGCAACTTTGAAGGTCTTTTCACGACGATAAATCGTAAAGCTGTTTCAGAGGTTTGCGTACCGAATCGACTCTAATGAAAACATGTGAGCAGGCAGATAACTGTCGAAGGAGAGCGACCTGTCGATGTTGTACTCGATTTGATACCGGAGGCAGTGCTCGCGTAAATTCAGACAATCGTTGGACGTAGTCCGATTCACTGAAGTTATCACGGCTCCGTAGTGTTAAAAATTTCCCAGGCAGACACTGTGTCTAGTAATGCTGTTGTCAGACTTTAAAACGATTTATCACCCACACTAAATCCAGAGGCACTATTTTATGGTCCATCCAACATTTAGGCTTACCCTAGAAACTGTTAATACACCATGAATATATCGCACCACCATTACCGGTCGAAATGACAGACGAATTCTACTACTCCTACTAAAAGTAGTAGGTCATGCGTTTATGCTCCTTCTTCGAACAGCTGGAGGATGCTTAATACTTAAAATCGCATCATTATCTGTCACAGCACTTTCAGCTTTTATTTTCAGTAGACGGATAAATTAAAAAGCCCTTAAATGTTGCCCAACTACTGTCGATCACAGAAAGCTCAAAATACCTCGTATCATTTTGGTTTCATTATTGTTCATATATTAGCAGTTTAAGAAGTTTCTATATCCCCAATTTACTAGGATTCTAAGACCTTGATTTCTTACCCATTAATCGCCTCAGAAACCTTTGACACTGTTTCTTTTTATTTTATTTCTTAAACTGCCTATCGTACGTGTCTCCAAACTACCTAATAACTGAACTATATAGTACAGTTTATACCATCAATTAACTTAATGTCAGTGTGGTATGTCATGTGGATATTTAGTCCAACATATAGAAGCCAAAGTTTCCTAGTTCACTTGTAACGTGGAGCCAGTAGAGAAAGTTTATTCCGACAAGGTGTGCAAAAAGTAGAACATGAACGAAAACATTAATAAAACAACAATAAACGAAATATCACCAAAGTATTAGACCACTGTGTCTTCATCACTATGTTCTATAAATCTACGTAATCTCTGACAATCAAGTTCCCTTTAATTTCCCCCATTCATAACATTATTTTTTATCTAACTAGTGACTTGGCTTCATTAACCTACATTAATGCAGGTGTACAACTAGTGTTTTTGTGATGGGAAAAGAGACGTCTGAGTAGTTCTTCCTATATAAAAAGGTGTCTATTGATTTAAGACACAGTTTTAACAAGAATATTTTCTGTTTCGCTCCTCGCCCTTTCTCTCTTTAATTTCTTCAGAACCTCATTCTACTAGTTAAATATTGGCTTTGATAGTTGCTGAAGACCTGGTTGCTTTACACAAGAGCCTGTCAGATTAATATGTGACGAGTCTCAGCAAGAAGGTCATTACATATTATTAGCATCACTTCTTGTTACACACAGTTTTGGACTTACCTTACATTGTTTATCAGCCAGCGGTGGTTCATGGTGACGCAAGTAGTAGCTCACTCCAACTTTCTTATTGTACGCTACGGAGTCCGAAATATTATCTACAATTTTACATAAAACGGATTAGCCCTCCATTAACTCAGAGTGTATAGTGTTAATCTAACTCAACAACCTCTTACAGAAAATAAGTAACAATTTTAACATTTTGATCTTGCATGTGAACTGGCATTCCTCTAGTGGCAAGTTGTTATTTGAGAATAAATTATTATTCTTATTGTTAACTGAGAGCTTGAATAAATCGAGTGAATCGTGAACTAAGAGATAAAAGTAATACTCTTCTCTGCGAGCCTGCCTGTATCCGTGGTCCTTATCAATAGCATATCAAGCATACATGGCGTTTGTCAATCTTCATAAATACGCATGGTGCTTACTGAGAATGTCTAGTATGTCTAGATGTTAAGCTGGTATAAGCAGTCAGACGTTGTCGCATGTAGACAGCATCTTCAAAAACAAAAAATTCCGAGATGGCTATCTCTTGATCCCGGCCCTCATTAAAATAACCACTCTGTCAGAGCTATCAAATATGTCGACAAAAACAGAGCTAAAAAATATTACTAACAAGCGTTGCAATTTCCAACTGTTGGATGCGGCAGCTTTAAAACCCAGTTTACAGTAGGTGGACAGGAAAGCCCTTCTTTAATTTGATGTTCACGTCCATTGGTACTTCTTATATCGCATTACCTTATGCGCTTTATAACAATATGTCCTAAGAATGGCCGTGAAAGCCCCCAAGCGATCTGCAGCCATTAAGAGTCAAATTGCGAATTTGAAGTGATTGGTGTC